ACAAGCAAGCATTACAGCACAACTGTCGAGAAACAAAGTCGAAACTGTTGCTAAAAATAGACAGGTGCTTAGATCTGTTATAGAGGTCATCATTCTGTGCGGTCGACAAAATATTCCACTTAGAGGTCATGATGACAACAATAGTAACTTTACTGTCCTGTTGAAAGACAAGGCCAACAGGGATGAAATCCTGAAAACACACCTGTCCTCTAAATCTAAGGTTACTTACACTTCGCCTATGATCCAAAATGAATTAATCACTTTGTTGGGAAATAACATAAAAGGCAAGATAGTTCAGCAGTGCAACGATGCTATTTGTTATTCATTTCTTGCAGATGAAGCTACTGACGCGAGCACTATGGAACAAATTGCTATGTGTGTAAGATATTATTCTGAAACTGAACAGGACGTGCGTGAAGACTTTGTGGGATTTGTGCAAGCAGAATCTACAACAGGAGAGGCTCTTTTTAACAAGTTTATTGAGGGGCAGCGGGACGCAGGATTAGACATCTCCAAGATGAGGGGACAAGGGTATGATGGGGCCAGTAATATGTCTGGTTGTCATCGAGGTGTGCAAGCTCGGGTCCAGCAAGTAGTTCCCCAAGCAATGTATGTGCACTGCAAAGCCCATAGCCTTAATTTGTCAATTGTGCATGCCTGTAAAGAGGCACTCGTCAGAAACTTGTTGGACACAGTACAACAAATCGGATTTGCTTTCAAGTACTCTGCCAAACGTCTTTTAGCTTTCAAAGAGGAGCTTGGCAACGATCCCGTGGCACAGGAAGAGATGCAGAAGAGAACACGTCTTCAAAGTCTGTGTGAGACGCGATGGGCTAGTCGGGCTGACGCACTTTACACTTTCAAAGCTGCATACACATCAATTGTAAGTGCACTGGAGGTGCTAGAACGAGAGGGAGACTCAAAAGCACGGAGCTACAGATGCAGTATCCTTGGGTTCGACTTCATCATCTCTCTAGTTGTGGTTGAATTCGTCCTCCAGGGTGTTATGCCTCTAAACAAGCTGCTACAGAAGCAGAATATCGACTTGATCGAAGCAGCCAAGGAGAGTCGAGTTCTTATAGCCACATTTCGTGCAGAGAGAGCCGATGATGCTGTGTGGGATGGGCTTTACGACAAAGCAGTTGCCATGGCAGAAGACCAAGGAGTCGAGCCTTCAAAGCCTAGAACAGCTCGACGCCAACAGCACCGTGGCAACGTGCCTGCCGACTCTGTTTCGGAATACTGGAAAAGAGCATTGTTCTATCCATTTCTTGATCATCTAGTTGTGGAACTAGAAGACCGTCTTGTATCCAGCAATGAGAGGTTTAAGGCTCAATATCTCATCCCAAGCCTTCTTCCTGAGCTCAGCCGAGATCACGAGGATTCCATCTTCCAGGAGTATGAGAGTGACCTCAGTGGGGATCGGGAAGCCTTCCGAAATGAGGTTTCTCGATGGAAAGTAAGATGGGAGCTGGAGGGGACAAAACCCTCAAATCTTACTGACACATTGAAGGCTACGAACAAGACTCTGTATCCAGACATCTTCACCTGTCTAGTTGTACTAATTACGATGCCAGTGTCTACCGCTACCGCCGAGAGGCAGTTTAGTATCATGAGACGCCTGAAAAACTACATGAGATCAACGATGCTCACAGAACGGATGTCTGGACTAGCCCTGTTGCACGCCTACAGACACATGGAAATAGATATTGATATTATCATTAACGAGTTTGCGGCCAGCAAAGGCCGCAAGTTAGACTTGCTGTGAAATGTAGACTAGTTGAAATAAACGAAAGTAAAGCTATTCATCTCCATTTTTATGCTAAAATAAATGGATTTTCGTTGGTCAAGAAAGCTCTCCGGAGGCCCCAAAACGCACCAAATTGCACCATTTATTTCAAAATTTTCAGGGGGGGCATGCCCCCTGACCCCCCTAGATTATTTTGAATCCACATTCTTTATAGGCTAGCTACGCGCCTGATTGCTTTATGTATTTAGACCGGAGGTCTGAATAGCGATTACATTTAATTATAAAATGAAATTCATCTTCTATATCCTTTTCATTACATTAAATACATTTTCTTTCTTCTCTAGGTATATCCCTGTAACGGCCACGTTCAATGAACAGGTCATGCGCACATAAACGCATCTTAGAAATATGTTTTAGATAATTTAAATGAATTGCCTTATGAATATATAGTTGCATTTAACACATTCCACTAAATGCTGATATAATACTCCTTTAGAAGAAGAATGAACTTTCTCTAGACAATCTTGCTGAAAACTATCACATAATCGCTGCTTATATACTTCACTAGAATGATTAACACTATCAGTCACAAACATGTATCCAAGGCCAACTCTTGAAAGATCATGTTTTAAGTTAAGGATCCAGGGGTCTTTATTTTCAACCATATCATCATTAACAAGCTTTCAGCACACAGTTATCAGAACGTTGTAATTTAATCCAATACTTATCTTTTTTTTTATCTTTTTCTTTACAGCTCTAGATGAGATCTTCCAAATTCAATATAAAGAAATGCAGTGTTCGTAGATTTTCTTAATCCTAATAATGATTTCAAAAATCCAATATGCAATTTTTCTATTTCGGGTGCTTTATGAAATCCCAAAATTTCTGAACCGTACATCAAAATACTATTTACAAACGTGTCAAAAACGGCAAGACGAGATTCCATATTAAAATAATTCTTTTTACATGCATTAGTTATGGCAAATAGTGCTTTTCGACCTTGTTCTGCTAGGTTTTTTTGTTTTTTGTTTGTAAATTTTCCATTATAGTTTAAAGTGAGACCAAGATGATTAAACTCATCAACTACTTCAATCGCATCATTATTATAAAACCATTTTTCTTTTGTCCTTATTAAACCACCATTTCTTAAGATAACTATTTTTGTTATATCTACATTTAAAGTTAAGCTCCATTTTCTACAATAATCTGATAGTGAATCTAACATTTTCTGCAAGTCTTCTAGTGTTTCCGATAGTATGACCATATCGTCTGCTTTAAAAATAAATTAATAGTTTGAATTTTTAGTGATAAGCAATTATTTTTTATAAAATCCATTTCTAAATCGTTAACAAATAATGTAAACAACAAGGGAGATAATATTTCCCCTTGGAATAAACCACTATCACATTTGAAAAATTCAGTAACACCTTTGAATTTAACACAACATTTTACATTGGCATAGAGACTTCTTATTATTTTCAGGAATTTCCCTTCTATACCTTCCTTAATCATTTTATACCAAAGATTTTGTCAACTAACAAAATCAAAAGCTTTATATAATCTATAAAACAGCAGTAAAGTCTGTTTCGTTTTTTGAGAGTTCTATTAATTAATGATTGTAGTACGAAAATACCATTTATTACATACTTACTAATAAATACGGGTTTTTTGTATATGCGATGCGACACAATTGCTCTAACCCATATCAGCCCTCGCCGTATCACACCCCAAAACCCGTATCAGCCCCCGCCGTATCACACCCCAAAACCCGTATCAGCCCGCAAAACCCGTATCACAACCCTTTGAGAGAAAAAAATCGTTTTTCAATATTTCAAAAATAAAAATGAATCATAAGATAGAAGTTTTTATTAGTAAGTATGTAATAAACATAATAAAACACGCCCTTTTCCATATCACACCCAGTATCAACCCTCGACCAATATCAGCCCTAGGGCCAGGTAGAAAAATAGAAACCACCACTGTTATCGTACAGAATTGTCGTCCCAGTTGGTCACGTGGGGAGTTATGATATAGGGTAGGCAGCTGACATAGATAAGTTAGTAGTGCATCACAAGTTACGGTTGTTCTTTTTAACCGACCTTAACCAATCGGAATGACAATTCGTGAACAATTTTGCCATCAATCGGCAGATATCGCATGAACAAATAGTTTAAGAAAGAAGAACAGGGATATGTATTTTCAGCATAAAAGATCAAAAGCACTTAGATGTATTGTAAAAACAATAGGTACTGAAAAGAACCGAAGTTAAAAGTCAGGCAATGATCGAATAACGCAGTACGCCTTTTCAAAAACAGCCAAAAAGGTTCACCCCAGTCCTTAAGGACTTTTGGAATCTAATGAACCCACAGGGGCCTGATAATTTGTTGCCGTTATATTTTTACCTAAACGAAGGTGTTCAGAGTAATTTTATGGGTTTATATCAACTTTCGGTATAAATGATCACATATACGATCATTGGGGGTATACATTTTTTTTATCGGAAGTTGATATAAACCCCTAAAATGTGTAAAATTACTCTGAACATCTTAGTTTAGGTCCAAATATAGCTGTAACAAATTATCAGGTCCCTGCGATTGTTCCATCACAGACGACCATTTCCGTCGGAGTAAATGCTGTACTTAACGTATAAAAGAGTACTAGCTCAGACATGTAGAGGTCAATATATCAATAAGCAGCGAATAGAAAGTCCAATACATTACACCACCAAGTCCAATACATTACACCACCAAGTCCAATACATTACACCACCAAGTCTATCGACGAGGTTCAGTCTTTTAGCAACCCCTAGCTACCTCCACCCCAATAAATAGGAGATCCCGCGACGACATGATAGAGGTCTACAAATTAATGTCCGGATCTGACTGTAAAGTATCCAAACATATTAAAAATCAGGGAAAGTTCATCTCCACAATTTTAAAATTTACAAATCGCATTCAGAATTAAACATAAGAAAACAATCCTTTACAAAGAGAATTCATGATTTATAGAAAAAAAATCTTCCGTCTAATGTTGTGAATTTAAGTACAGTAAAACAATTTTAAAATAAATTAGATGAATACTGGCAAAACCAAGCGCAGAAATACAAGGTTAAAGACAAACTCGAAATCTAAAACATCGTATTATGTTAGCAGAGGGCTTCATATTATCACAAACATGGAAGTAAGTTTCGAAAGAAAAGTAAGTAAAATACACAAACAAATATATTATGAAAACAGGTACAGTAGCTTACCTGGTCCCCCATGACTGTATCGTGTCGGTCAACTTGTATCTCCTTATATATTGGAATACGCCAAAGGGTCGTCAGACAGCACCAACTTGGTGGAATTTGTTCCGTGGCATGGTCCCACTTTCACGTTTAAAAGCTAGTTAAAATTGTCAGAATAATTTACATACACATTTTGTTGTTGTTCGTACAGGTGACACTATATGTACAGTTAAAATCGAAGAAACGCCACCATACTGCAATGGCATACACATAAAAACATGACTATAAAAAGAGTCTGCTTATCAAGAGAAAGTGGAAAGAATTAATCCAAACATTGGGGGGTTTAATGAAAATTATCTGGAACGCAAGTGTAATAAAAACCATTGTGAAATGCAAATGTAGGGACTTTACGACGTCATATTACGTGTCAGACCGATATAGGGAACAACGGGGTTATTAGCGTTACGCTGGACGACTAGACACTTTCAATGTGCTTAAGTATATGTTAAATGCCAAGGACATGTATTTACCAGTGCCCTCGGCAAAAATAAACACATTACAGCATATTAGTTAACTAGATTAACGGCAGTAAATGCTTGGCGTAGTTATCTTTAAACTCCTACTGTATAAAACGAGATTTTTGTCTGTTTTAAATGAAAATAATCACAAACAAGATACACTGATACAGTATATATTACACGTGAGAAACTGTATATGTAATTCATAATAATAAGATGTACACTATCTATCAAGTGAATCGCCTAATATAGATTAGCACTTATACATACCATGGAGCGGATCGACCAGGAAATCTTGTGTTCACTGTTGGAATTATTTCTTTGTCCGTACATCAATTTTAAGTTATTCGTATCCAACAAATATACTTTTGTAAGGATTCGGGGATTTTACCCTCGATATTACTTCTTTGACTCATATACAATTAAATTATAGGATGGTACAAATTCAAACATATAAATACCACCTATGCCAGAGCCTATATATACTACAACGTCTCTGCTTATATAAGGATTAAAAGGCAATTTTCAATTAACATGCTGGTATATTTCCATTTCCATTGCAAGTTCCTGTATAAGTACTACCAGGAGAATTGCGTTCACAGAGCTATGAACACAATTCGATCCGCATCTTTTTTAAGTTTAATCAAACATTTTGGTGACGTTATGGTGTTCAATGAAACTCTGACGACACAGACACTTAAATATCGAAAAGATGAGAGAATATCTATCTATAATAACGATTGAACGGTATTTTTTTTTAAATGTTCATGCCGGTATGAAGTTGAAAAAAAATGCCGTTCAATCCTTATATGATATCAAATCGGTTACATAAATATTCATGTAACATATTGGCGTTCATACAAGCATGAATATTAAAAAAAAGGCCGTTCTTGATCAGTCCTCAAATTCTGATTTTTTAGTTATTAAATATCTAAATATAGGTATTCCCATATGTTTTCGATATTGAAGTGTCTGTGTCGTCAGTGCAAACGAGACTCCTGGAACAATCTTACGTCACCACAATGTTTGCTTCTAAGGTTGTCTGGCTTTTAGTCATGAAGTAAGGAGAAGTTTCACAAGGACGCTGATCAAATTGCATTTTTTTTTCTGGAAACGCTTATAGAGGAACGAATCCAATTTTCACTTCCCAAGTATTATTGCAAATATTATCAGCAATATATAATTAAATTATCTTTGGTTGAAGTCATTTAAAATCAAGACTTAAGAATCCATTGAAATAATTTGACCCACTGACTTATATATGTTAGAGCCAAAGCCAACATATATTCGGTATTCAGGTGATACAGGCCATTTCAAATGTCATAAAACTTTGAAAATAATATACGTATTTGTTAACATTATAAAATCAAACGATGTGATTTTTAGGATTTGTTAAGTGCTTTTTGCAAGCGTTGGCTATTCTAGTATAACAATGTCTTTAAAGCATACTAACATGTGTACATGTTTTTCTAAGAAGTGGAATTCTTTTTATATCGCTTGTTTTTAAAATTGACACCATGATGGTTCAACTGACTTAAAAAATAATAAAGATTATCCTCGTATTCGGAATACCACGACATTATTCTGTTTCCAAGTGTTCGTTGAATTGTTTAATGTAAGTGTGGGTATATTTTGGCCCATAAATGCTAAGGGATATTCCAAGTATTCACCGACTGAAACAGAGACGTTTCAGCATTATTTTCTCCCCCNGGTTGTGACAATACAAATTTAGCTCAGAAGAGCTATTCTTACGACTATTATAACAATCATAATTAATAGAAACAATAAAATATCACGAAGGTAGCATGCATCACAGATGGTTGAATAAAAGGTAAAATAGCACGGAAAGATTAAAGGTCATGCGAACATAAAGCTCATGCAGCATATAAAGTAATTTAAGAGACGTTTCAGTCTAATGTACATATCTGCCGCTATGGCAAAAACTAAAAATTGACAGAGTACATGCTAATATAACATAATCTAAAACAACAATACAAACATTTATTAAACAATATTTAGGAATTTACAGCATAAAAGAAAACTTACACAAAAGAAAGTAAAGCAGCACTAATAACTAAAACTTGTGCATGACAACTATTTCTGGAGCAATAAAAACCACAACCTAGCACCAAAAATCAATTGTACAGATGGGACCAGCCCAGGTGTGGACCAGCCTCCGGAATTCTGGGAAGTATTCACATCTCCGCAATTCATTTGGAAGACTGTTCCACACCCGGGCCGCCTCAAACGAGAAGGATTTCTGTCCATACCTTGTAGTTTTTACAGATGGGATGCTGACTGTGAAGTCCCTTCTGAGATCATAAGCAGATTCCCTTAGTTTTACTAAATCACGTATATAATTAGGAGAACTCTTGTGTAGCTACTACGAGAAAGATGAAAAGATTCAGGAGCGTGCACTGAGATTCGTGCATGGAGAGTGATTATGTCTCAACTTTTAGTCAGCTTTTAAAATATACTAATAGTACTCTTTTACATGTTAAGAGGCTAAAAGATATGGGCTGTGATTTTTTTTAAAAATTCACAGCCCATATCTTTTAGCCTCTTAACATGTAAAAGCTGACTAAAAGTTGAGACATAATCACTCTCCATGCACGAATCTCAGTGCACGCTCCTGAATCTTTTCATCTTTCTCACACTTTTCAAGCTAGTAAAATGCCAAACCACTGAAACCATTGGGCAGAAATGAAAACTAAATATAATAAAAGAATTGAATATGACTCTCCTACCTTGTTTTGTTTACAAAAACTACAATTCTTTTAAGAACATTAAGCTGTCTAGAAGCCTTTGAACAAATTTCTGAAACATGTGTATCAAAATTTAAAAATGAGTCAAAATTGACACCAAGTAACTTCACAGTTTTTTCTATTTTGAAAGAATTAGAAGTCTCAATAGTTTTCCTACCTAGACATATGGCCTGAAATTTATCAGGATTTGCCCTCATGTGCTTTTTGTTAAACCAGTTAGGAACCACGCTAGACACTAATCTGTCAGTGGTTTTATGGTGTTATGGACGCAGAAAATGATGTTGTGACAATTATGGGGTAGTAGAGGTGGTTCATTTTTGGAAGTGGTTGCGGGGAATGCTAGTCGTTTCGGTAACATGCAGGTCGTTTCGGTAACAAGTCGTTTCGGGACGTGAAACAAGATGTTTCGGGACTTAATCCCAATTTTCCGAAATCGTCCTTATAATTACCACTAGGCCTATACGTTTTCCTGCTTTTTTCAAAAATAATTTTCTTTAAATACATGCTCCAGAATTTGAAGTTTCGTAAATTTGCTTTTCCGAATCATGTATCTTTAAAATAGACACACATTGTTACTCCCCTTGTTGAACCGGAAGTAGGTTCAAAAACGCCGCCATAATCTATAAGTTGCATGGTGAAAAAACAACGGGCATACCAACAGAAATAACAGCCTAATATAATGGCATCCTCTGACATATCACAAGTTACAGACCAGCTAGCTAAAACCAAAGTAGACGAAACATACGAATTAAGTTTCAAAGGCCGAGGACTTAAACTTAATACAGCAAAAGATGGTAAAATGTCGATCTGTTCATGTGAATGTTTTAAATAATATCTGTCTATCTTTCGCATTATCCGACGTTATCTCGAGTTATATTTGTACATGTGCCATTCACCAGAATGAAAATACAAATTGATAAATAGAAACAAAAATGGTGTTTAATTTACCTCATATAGAAAATGATGTTGAAATGGATTGTTTATGAAATTACCCAAATTCATTTCTGGCAAAGACCCATTTTCTTCGGAATGAGGTCTCCAACTAGGTTATTCTTATCCCCCCCCCCCCCCCCCCCCCTCCCTTCAAAAAAGGTAAAGATAATAACCTCTGAAACACCATTAACATTAACTGATTACTAACACTCGATTTCACAGCATTACTTTGAAGACGTGGGAATTATTTGACTACCTTTTGTCAAATGTGGGCAAAACAATCCTTGACTTGATATAAACATATTCTATTGCAGAATTTGCAAATAGATTAGGCACAAGTTATTCCAACTTATGAAGCCTTCTCCCAGAAATATTTTATACAATGTACATGGCAACATCAACAGATTTTACACAAATCGATGATGAAAATAACGAAGGAGAGAGCGAGAAATTTGAACCAACCACTGTCTTTAATAAACTTCTGTACTGATTTGAATACATGGATGTTTTCCCCAAGAGACAAATCTGAACTGCCATTTAATAGTAAGTCTAAGTTTATTATACCGTATAATGTAAGTAAAAAAATCCTTCCTGTACGTACTATTTGATTTGGTTATTGATTTTCCCTTCAAACTCGAGTCTTAAGCTTATGATGGTGATAATATTCTAAGGAAGTCTGAAGAATCTGAAAATTCCTGTGTTTTCAGTAAACAGTGGCATCGTTAAATATGGAAAGATCGTCAACTGGGCCCTAATGTAGCTTTTGTGATTTCTTTTACAAAACGTGAAGTAAATTCAAGAGAGTTTTATAATTTTCCCACCATGAGAATTTTCTTTAAAAAATCAAGTATTTTCACCATTTTCCTCAATTTCCCCCCACATGGAAACCCCAACAGAGTTAGGTCTCTGGATCCGCCACTGATTTTACAAAGGGAAAACACTCAGTCATCAGATATACACAAAAAGCCTTAACTAGTCTTACCAAAACCAACGTGCGGAAAAAGGGTTCATATTCACTCTTTGTCAAAATAAAACAAGGATTTGGAAATTATCAAGTGGCAAATAAGATATTAAGGTAAATGTTGGAAATGGATATCAATTTGGGCACACTGACTTTAATTAGGGACATATTACAATATCAATGTACAGCCTAAAACACTGGTCTAGTCAAGTCAGTTTGATCAGGAAGATTTGATTCAAAATTAAATATAATAAAATTCTATATATAATATATTCTAATAATGGGAAGCATCGAAAGTGCCAGTGTTACATGTATAAAAGTTTATTTCAAAGCTTGTTAGGTGTACATGTGTAGTACAGTAGAACATATTTGTATGAGGTCTCTTCAAGTGGTTGTTATATGTTTCTTTTGTTCAGCCGAAGTTATAGCTAATGAGATTGAAGAATGCAAAACAATGACAGCCCTGAGAATGGAAGGGAACACCCTTGGAGCTGATGCTGCTGAAGTCATAGCCGAAGCTTTACAAAAACATCCAGAATTTCAGGTATATTTAATGCTCTAATGTTGAAATTGTTATGTCATGGATTATCAAAGAATTATAACAGACAAGAGAAAATTTGCAGTGATGTTTTGGGAAAATAAACCAATTCTACATTGAATTTGGAAAATACAGCATATATGTGGGGAAAGGGTCTTTTATTAACTATAAATAAAAGCTCAAATTGCAAATTCACTGTAAAAATCACTGATTTGGAGGGATCATTGACCTCAAAATCGGAATGACAAGAGTCAACTGACGGCCCTGATCATTTCAATTTTAGAGGTCAATGATCACATTTTCCCAGAAATTTGAGGGTCAAAACATGTACATATGTATGTCAAATATAGACATGTGACATTGTCTTTTCAAACTATTGTGTAAAAGCTAACTTTTGGGGGACAGAAACATACTTTCAGTGTCAAGGGTCTAATGAAATTCCTAGAGAAGGCTTCAGAATAATAATGTACACATTTTTTTTTATATATTATTTATATAATTATATCAAATTGAGACCCAAATTATCACCTGGTGTAAACTTTACAAAAATTATAGACCCAGTACGTCATTTATAACCAAGTATAAGTGCTCCTCTTCTCCCTTCCAATTTCCCCTCCTCTTATATTAATTTCAGGAATATCCAATAACATTTTTTTTTTTTTTCTCTCCTAAATTAGGAAATAAATATCTAAATATAATTGGGATTGGTGCCAAATTTTAGTATCATTAATACCAGGAGGGAAATTTTTGTTATTATATTTTGTCATTGATATTGTAACACTTAATTTAGTTACAAATCTGTATAGCAATATGTGTAATATTGTGTTTGTTTCTTTGTAGAGAGCACACTGGAGTGACATGTTCACGGGTCGATTGAAAACGGAGATCCCTCCTGCCTTGGTGAGACATTGAACTAGGCTTATAAAGATATATCAATGTGTCTTGCTCTGGCCGAAGTTTGTATCATATTGTTGCTCATATACATCAGGATTTTCAATTTGTCTTGCTTTTATTGAAAAATAAAACATTTGTGGTGACATCCTGTTCATTTTTAGCCATTTAGGTCAAATATGAAACTTTGAAACGCATCAAGTGTTTCACTGTATAATTTCTAAGATCAACAGATCAAATTTAACACTGCATCAATAATAGCAGCTAGGAAGGACAGAATGCATCAGCTATTTTTTTTTCAAATTTTCAAATGATTCATTGGAATTGAGGTATCTTAAAACATAGAGAAAGTGTCCCATTTTATTATTAGAGTTAAAAACTTTTGCAAAATATTTTTTACAAGTCCCTGTCAATAATTTAAAAATACCTTTGACTTCCTATAAGAATAATATTTCACGTTAGGCCAAACAAAAAAGGGTGTTTAGGGTTCCTGACCGACCCAAGCTTTTTACCCCCGACCCAAAACTTTTTGATGAAAAAACCCCAAAAACCCTGATGATTTTCGAATTTTAGAAGGTTCCTTGCCTTTCAAAATGGCTTCCGGCGCCGTTTAGGCGCTAAATGTCATCAAATGGAGCACAATTTGCCCTCAAACGAACGTTGTTTATGTAATTCTTTGTTTTACATGCAATAGTAGGGTCATAATTACATGACCAAAAATATAAAAAAAAAAATCAAAAAAAAAGTCTGACCTTCCTACCCTAGTTTTTTGGCCCATGCAACCCTAAACAGACCATATATATATTTTGGCCTTATGAGTAACTATTTAAGATAAATTGAGTCATTTTGGCCAAAATGAAAAAATTACAGGCCCCAGCTTCAAGAACATGTCATAAACAGCTAAAGTTGGCATTTTTCCTAAACTTAAGAATTACTTTAGGTTAAGGAAATGATCTAAGTTAACATGTTTTAATAGTGAAATTGGAATCTGTACTCAAAATTCTGCATCAGAACAGGCTGGTATAATGCCAATTGTATGGGCTTTCTAATACTTGAATGAATTCATAGCTATTTATATTTTGTTCATCAAAACAAAACATTAAAACAGCTAAAACATGTATAAATATATGATATCCAAAATGTCACAATAATACTGATTTATTTTACAGAAACATTTAGGCAAGGCAATCATAGCTGCTGGAGCTGGATTAGTGGAGCTTGACCTCAGTGATAATGCCTTCGGTCCGACCGGAGTGGATGGTCTAATAGAACTGCTGAAGAGTCCTAGCTGCTATACCCTGAAGGAACTCAAACTCAACAACAATGGTCTCGGCATTGGGGGCGGAAAGGTAATCTTATCAACCTGGTTTACCCATCAACACGAGCATTGGGGGCGGAAAGGTAATCTTATCAACCTGGTTTACCCACCAACATGGGCATTGGGGGCAGAAAGGTAATCTTATCAACCTGGTTTACCCATCAACATGGGCATTGGGGGCGGAAAGGTAATCTTATCAACCTGGTTTCCCCACCAACATGGGCATTGGGGGTGGAAAGGTAATCTTATCAACCTGGTATACCCACCAACATGGGGATTGTGGGCGGAAAGGTAATCTTATCAACCTGGTTTACCCATCAACACTAGCATTGGGGGCGGAAAGGTAATCTTATCAACCTGGTTTACCCACCAACATGGGCATTGGGGGCGGAAAGGTAATCTTATCAATCTGGTTTACCCACCAACATGGGCATTGGGGGCAGAAAGGTAATCTTATCAACCTGGTTTACCCACCAACATGGACATTGAGGGCAGAAAGGTTATCTTATCAACCTGGTTTACCCACCAACCTATTTCTTTGTTTCATTTTCCTTTTTTTTTGGCCTTCCTACGAAAATCCACAAAAACCCAACTCTGCCCTGGACAGTTGCATTATAGCAAGGTTTTACTCTTAATTTCTTTGTCTGTTAAATGACCTTATTTAAGTAAAATATTTATCTTGAAATATCTCTTTGGGCAACACTTAATTTAATCTCTTACTCAAAGTAGGGGATGGGCTTACTAAAGGACAACAAAATGTTTTGTTTTGACATTTCAAGTCTAAATTGCGATAGGTATGGGTGGGCTTATTACCAGAAATTGTTATTTGATTGATAATATAGGATACTGTTTGTGTGATTTCCTCCAACCCACCTCCTCCTTTGTTTTGTGAAACCAGACCAAATTGGGGTAGTTGACATACCTGAATATTTTCTATACTGAATTATTTCTGTATTTGGTGTCTGTTGTAATAACCTAAAATATGTTGTTACATTGTTATTGTAACTTCCTAGAATCTGTTGTTACATTGGTGTTGTAACTTCCTAGAATCTTTTTTTACATTGTTGTTGTAACTTCCTAGAATCTGTTGTTACATTGTTATTGTAACTTCCTAGACTCTGTTGTTACATTGTTGTTGTAACTTCCTAGAATCTGTTGTTATATTGGTGTTGTAACTTCCTAGAATCTGTTGTTACATTGGTGTTGTAACTTCCTAGAATCTTTTGTTACATTGTTGTTGTAACTCCTAGATTCTGTTGTTACATTGTTGTTGTAACTCCTAGATTATGTTGTTACATTGTTGTTGTAACTTCCTAGAATCTGTTGTTACATTGTTGTTGTAACTTCCTAGAATCAGTTGTTACATTGTTGTTCTAACTTCCTAGAATCTGTTGTTACATTTGGGTTGTAACTTCCTAGAATATTTTGTTACATTGTTGTTGTAACTTCATAGAATCTGTTGTTACATTGTTGTTATAAATTCCTATAATCTATTGTTGTTACATTATTGTTGTAACTCCTAGATTCTGTTGTTACATTGTTGTTGTAACTTCATAGAATCTGTTGTTACATTGTTGTTATAAATTCTTATAATCTATTGTTGTTACATTATTGTTGTAACTCCTTGAATCTGTTGTTACATTGTTGTTGTAACTTCCTAGAATCAGTTGTTACATTGTTGTTGTAACTTTCTAGAATCTGTTGTTTCATTGTTGTTGTAACTTCCTTGAATCTGTTGTTACATTGTTGTTGTAACTTTCTAGAATCAGTTGTTACATTGTTGTTGTAACTTCCTAGAATCTGTTGTTACATTGTTGTTATAACTTCCTAGAATCAGTTGTTACATTGTTGTTTTCCATGTTGGTACAGATACTCTCACAGTGCCTGCTGGACTGTCACAAGTCGAGCTGTGCTGCAGGCAAACCTCTGGCCCTGCGGGTGTTTATATCGGGACGTAACAGGCTGGAGAACGATGGAGCCACTGCTCTCGCCGCAGCCTTCAAGGTATTGTGTTATGGAGTCTGGGAATACTGTATTCCAGGAAATTTTCACCACAGTTTTAACTGTCTTTTTCACTCTCCGTAATGAGGTTGAATTTATTGTAAGAGCGAACATTAGTAAACAACATATGAAAATAAAGATCAAATGTGGAGGGCAACCTTAACACTAAACGAATACAGAGTTTACCAGCGAAGGTGAAAGTTTACAGATATACAGTACATGAACTGGTATATGCAATGTAATCGCCTCTCTTTAATTGTATCGAATATTAAATGCAACAATTTTTCAATTTTTCACATAATCGATACAAATTACAATTTCTATTGATTTAATTGATGCAATACAATGTATATATTACGATTGTGTCATATGTATGCATCATAATTTCATACGTTCAAGTTGATTTACAATTAAAAAAACAAGATTCTAGCACCTGACCCAATTGGTCTATTTGTCCCTTTGATTTATATTAACTTACAAACTATAACTTGCGTCAGAGGTGGGATAATGTTCAACTTATAATAATGGACGTGGGTACAGCTTGTGAAATTATTAAAAGTAGTTACATGTATGTAACATGACTAAAATTTTCAAATAAAATAATTTACCTTAGTGATATAACATCCAATTAGAACATAACCAGTGACACTAAACACATGCTAATGGTATCTGTTATTAGGCAATTGGAACCCTAGAGGAGATCACCATGCCACAGAACGGGATCAACCCTCCCGGGATAAGTGCCCTGGCCGACGCTATAGCTCATAACAAGGGACTAAAAAGACTTAATTTAAACGACAACACCTTTACAGTGGCGGGTGCCAAAAGCATAGCAAAGGTAGGTGATGCACTTCTGAGAGTTTTGTAGAAAATTCAATTGATAGATTAAAAGTCCAAAATGTCCAGGTGGTGTAGCTTTTCGAAATAAGTAGATTTTCACGACATGCTGACCATGAAGTGAGGGGTGTAATAATCCACTTGCCTGATGCCAAGGACAACAGGTTTTATTGCTTGGGGCAAGTGCAAAAAAGTAGGCCCACTTGCTGGGGGCAAGAGTAATAGACTTGTTTCTGCCCCCCCC